AGAGAAAGGATGGATGGATAAATGAGAGAATGTGTGGATAGATGAGAGAATGTGTGGATAAATGAGAGAAAGGATGGTTAAATGAGAGAATGTGTGGATAAATGAGAGAATGTGTGGATAAATGAGAGAATGGATGGATAAATGAGAGATAGGATGGTTAAATGAGAGAAAGGATGGATAAATGAGAGAATGGATGGTTAAATGAGAGAAAGGATGGATAAATGAGAGAATTGATGGTTAAATGAGAGAAAGGATGGATAAATGAGAGAATGGATGGTTAAATAAAAACATTAAAACTTTTATCAAAGGAATAGTAATTTATAAGATATTTCAGAATGAATTTCATTTTATTTCATTTCTTCTCATAAATTTTCTTACGAATNACCCCAACTCAACCTCAAACACAAACACAGCCACCCCAACTCAACCTCAAACACAAACACAGCCACCCCAACTCAACCTCAAACACAAACACAGCCACCCCAACTCAAACTCAAACACAAACACAGCCACCCCAACTCAACCTCAAACACAAACACAGCCACCCCAACTCAAACTCAAACACTTATCGAGCGTAAAAACGCACCTTTGCTCTTAAGAATTTAAATAAACCCCCTAAATGCAAATGTACGAACAATATTTACACTTTAGGAGAAATATAAACTCAACGCGTCAAAAACTTGTGAATGAGGACTGCTGTAGTGTTCGTTAATCGTTTTGGATCGTTAATGAAACTTTCGAGATTTCAAAACTAAATTATATTAAACTTCACCATATTGTTACATATATATATAAATATATATATATATATATATATTCTGTCAGGGTATACATTTCACATAGTCAAAATAACCAGATATTTAGAAGAAAAAAAACATTTGCACTGCCAACACTATGCCCAATTTTGACCCTGAACAAAAATATTGGCAAAAACGACCCAACTGCAGACGGAATATCACTAAGTGGAGAAGATCAAATTTTAAAGAAAATCTTTTTATCTAGAAAAATGTAGCTCTGTTTTGACAATTATTAAAAATTTAAACAAGAATATTATTTCTTTTTACTATTAACATTTTAAAGATTATTCTTATCTTCTTAATTATTCTAACTGCTATAATTAACAGTATACTATACTGCCACCACTTACATAACAGCTGTTTTGTCCATAGAGATTTGATAGATATTTTCTTGGTGCATGTCCTATATTGAAGAGCTCCAAATATCTTTGGTATGTATTGCCTTTGTGTATGTCCCATCTAAAGAGCTCCAAATATCTTTGGTATTTGCTATCTTTGCGTTTCCCATCTAAAGAGCTCCAAATATCTTTGATAAAAATTTTCTCTATGTTCCATCTAAAGAGCTCCAAATATCTTTGATAAATATTTTCTTTATGTCCCATCTAAAGAGCTGCAAATATCTTTGATAAATATTTTCTTTATGTCCCATCTAAAGAGCTACAAATATCTTTGGTAAATTCAAATTTCCTGTACTAGGTGAAATGTCAACACTGCATTATGACAGACATATTTCCAGCTTCCTAGTTTAAATATTTCGTGATGACGTTCAGAAATTTTGCAAAATTATCGGAATATTTATGTTTCTAAATTAAAAATAGATTAAATGTTAACAAATCAATAACTTTTATATACGTACATTACATTGAATAACATTCATTTGATGCACACAATATTAACACATACACACTCCTTAGATACACACAATCACTAGATGCACACACTAATTAGACACACACCCTCACTAGATACACACACTCACTGGATACACACTCACTAGATACACACACTCACTAGAAACACACACTCACTAGATATACTCACTCACTAGATACACACACTCACTAGATACACACACTGACTAGATACACATACTCACTAGATACACACACTCACTAGATACACACACTCACTAGATACACACACTCACTAGATACACACACTCACTAGATACACACACTAAAACCTACTGCCTACTGTATTCCTAATCCTTGATCCTTCTATTCTTGCCTGGTTTAAACCCAGTTTTTTGCCTAGTTCAACCCCAGTTCTTTCTCCTGAGTAAACATTAAACTATCATCAGCTAAACCCCTAACCTAGAGAAACCCAACCTTAATCTCTTCTCCGTCCCGACTCTAACATAAAGAAACACATGTTGTGAATATACATATTCATTATTCAATATTCATAATAAACAAACGCACCAGGAGGAAGGGAGAGAGAAAGATTTCAAAATATAATGAAAATTTGAAAACAAGAGGAAATTCCATAATGAGAAAATACTGTAGATAAAACTGACAGCTTCAAGTGATATAGGACAAAATACCAATATTAAATATGATAATAGATCCGGAAGGAATAAAATTTGGAAGTGAAAAGTGTGAGAATTGGAAATTGGTTTACATTGAGAATTGGGAAGAAATTCGATGTAGAGAAAATTTTTAGAAATGAAATTTAAAAACATCAATTCCTAAATGGACCCCCACTCCTCTCAGATCTATATAGAGTGGTTAGGACAGCTACAGTTTAAGGAGGAGAGATAAATATAGAGTGGTCTAAACCTAAACAGCACATTATACAATAAACTTTCTACAGAAACCTATGTTTACATTTAGACCATGGTCCATGAATAGTTAAATTCTTACTTCGTATAACCTAATCTTTATTAATTTACTTTTCTAAAGCTATTTCAGGGATGTACAGTGCACGGTGGACTAAGCCAGTGGGGTCGGTCAAATAGGCCAAGGATTAGGCCGGGTACTGTAAAAAGTCTGAACGCGCCATGGGAGTTGTCATAGTTAGCCCTCTCACGGGACTATTCCAAGAAAATTGACCCCTGTCGTATGTTAGTCTGGTTAGGGCGACGTACTGTACCATAGGATAGGGTCACAGTACACGCTGTTATCTGGCAGGCCGGTACAAACTGGGCAGGTCCTGTTCGAATTCAAATTTACTACGGAGTACGGGGATAGAGTGAGTGGGACCTATTAAACTATGAAAAGGAAGCCTTTTTTGTAACTTTATGTGAAGCTTATAAATAAGCATATTATGAGAAATGAGTCTGTGTTTACTGCACAATTTCGGTATTTCTTTAATTTATTTCAATAATAACTGGAGTCTTGGAGTCTAACAATTGTCATTCTCTTCCACAGTTTTAGGGGTCTTACTGTATACTAACTACAGGCTACAGGGGCTAAATAGTAAATACCGATGTCCAGAAAATCATAATTAAAGCAAGAAACCCCCCTTTCTTGACCCAACCCATTATCCAATGCATTGCTTCATTACTTTAAGATTATTCACATATTCATACAATACAGGGTTACCGAAAAAAGATGAGACTATAAGGACGACCTAAAACTCCTGGAATACGACGATCCCACAGACAACGTTTTCTCCCTAGAACACAATGATTTTGTAAAGGAAGAAACTAATCAACAGTTCCAGGGACTCATACATATAAGGAAACAGAAAGCATAAATTCCATACCGTCGCGTCTCTGAAGTCTCATCCTTTGTGCCTAACCCTGTACAGTGTACAATACCACACCCGACACCTCATCTTCTTGCATAATTATTAATTCTCATAATTTCTCCTTGTCACTATTTTTCAGTTGAGCTGGCCTCAAGGTTTTATAATTATGCGATGTTTTGTCAAGGTGCGCTGAAAAGAGATTCGCGGCATCACGCAACAAAATGCGTAAAAACTTCAAACCAAACCAAACCTTGAACTATGGCGTCGTTTAGATCTTCTTTAAATGGTGTCTTCGTTCAAGATATCACGGAGAAATATTTACTGGAAGGAAGAGATTTAAGGTGGTTAGGAAAGAATCCAGTGCATTTCTGCGCCCCTATTATTTATATAATGGCTGGTCTGTTATATATATTTCGGAGAGAGTTAATTTAACTAATTAGATTAGGCATTTAACCAATTTGAAAACTATATTTTTGTCTGTAAACACTGGCTGAAAATCACATGCATTTTTAAAGGGACAGACCGGCTACATAAGGTAGTTAAACAGAGTATGCAGTGTTGTGGACACATTTATTAGGATTCATTTGAGACATATAAAACGTTGTCTAATTACTGAGTTTAAGTGCATAGTCGACGTCCAAAATCGTGAATTTGAATGGGTACGTTTTAAGAATTGGTTTTTTAAAATTATTAAATAACGACGACAAAAAATAAAGTAAAAATTATACAGTAACTACTAAGATGGTTAGAAGCATATTTCTTAAAAGAAATTTGTCAATAAATCAATGCTAGAATCAATTATTTCGTTTTTATTTTTTCTATGAATTTATTCGCAGATTTCTACAAATTCTTCAAATGTCGTCTTTTCAATAATAATACCAGAAAATCTGCAGAGAATCTGTGTAAACAATGAGAAACTAGAAACTAATATTAATTGAACAAAATTACTTATTTTCGATGATAAGATTAATTTTCATTTTCTCAACCTGTTCCTAGACAATTAATTAGCTTACTGTAGCATTTTGTTCACATTTTTTGTCGTCGTTATTTGATAATTAAAAAAAAAAAATTCTGAAAACGTTTCCACCCAAGACTACGATTTTGAACGTCGACTTTGCGCTCAAACTCAGGATTTACAGATCTTTAAAAAGTTTTTATATGTCCCAAATGAATCCTAAAGAATTTGTCCAGAACACTGCATACTCAGTTCAACTACCTTACATAGCTGGTCTGTCCCTTAATATTTTCTGTACGATAAGAGAAAATCTGTTTGCTTAAGCTTCTATTGTAATCTTTGGGAAGTTCAGAAGGGAGAAAATTGACAATTTTACTCTAGCAAACACTTACCATCATTTATCATTCGTCATTCATCATTCATCATTCATCATTCATCATTCATCATTCATCATTCATCATTTGTAGATGAATTTATAGATGAATTGGTAGATGAATTGGTAGCTGAATTGGTAGCTGAATTGGTAGATGAATTGGTAGATGAATTGGTAGATGAATTTATAGATGAATTGGTAGATGAATTGGTAGATGAATTGGTAGCTGAATTGGTAGATGAATTGGTAGATGAATTGGCAGATGAATTGATAGATGAATTGGTGGATGAATTGGTAGATGAATTGGTAGATGAATTGGTAGATGAATTAGTAGTTGAATTGGTAGATGAATTGGTAGAAGAATTGGTAGATGAATTGGTGGATGAATTGGTAGATGAATTGGTAGATGAATTAGTAGTTGAATTGGTAGATGAATTGGTAGATGTATTGCTAGATGAATTGATAGATGAATTGATAGATGAATTGGTAGATGAATTGGTAGATGAATTTGTAGATGAATTGGTAGATGAATTGGTAGATGAATTGGTAGATATATTGGTAGATGAATTGGTAGATGAATTGGTAGATGGATTGGTAGATGAATTGGTAGATGAAATGGTGGATGAATTGGTAGATGAATTGGTAGATGAATTGGTAGATGAATTGGTAGATGAATTGGTAGATGAATTGGTAGATGAATTGGTAGATGGATAGTGGACGAATTTACATATTGAATGCTTCTGTTCCTATTCATCTATTCTGGCTTAGTCCATCCATCTTATATATATATATATATATAGATATCTAGAGTTATATATTTATCTATATTTATAGATATATATAAATCTAAATTCATAAGAAATTAAACCTTTTAGTCTTATATTTTTCATAATTTCTTGAAATATATATATATATTAGCCAGGGAACCCAGGCCTGAGGTGACGTGGATTTAACGGTTCTGTCAATATTCCATAAAGCTGTGGCTTTCGATCACCATTTGACCCATTAAACACAATTTTTTAGTCTTTTTTCTTGAATACTTTTTTGTCGGCATATCCGTAAGGTAAAAGATTGTTGATTTAATGACTAAAACACGTTTGATTTCAAAAAGAAGAAACCGAATGCTGCTCACTAGTCCGGGATGGGTTTTTCCCTTTAATAATCAACTCACTCATCTTAGAAATTTGAAACCAAGTAATGAACATTCTTCTCATGATTCTATAGAGTTCTCCGATCAAAATTTGATGCAAATCAGACAAGGGTTCATGACTCATGCTCAGACATAAAAGGGAAAATACATAAATATATATATTTATATNGGGGGGGGGTAGGACACCTGGTTGTATTTAGTTGAATTTCCAAAACCTCCATGCCAAACTCATCAAGACATAAGGAGAAGGTCAAAGAAATGGTGTCTTTGCCACACATTTTCAAAATTTCTAATCCTATAACTTAGCACTTGATGGTGCAAACCATTGATATTTCAAACTTAAATTATAAGATCTAACAGAATTTATATTTTGGGTTGCAAAAATATAAAAATTAGAAAATCAAAGTTTGCCTCATTACAGGTACAACTTTGTGACCTAGTAGTAAGTATTACACCTCCTCTAACAAGTATGAAAAAAAAGAATCGGGTTACATATAAGAAATTCAAAATATGTTTGATATTCTCAATAGCTCATCAACAAGAGAAGTTATAATTAGAAACGTAATGGATTTCAATATAACATGCAATTTACCATAGTTTAGTGTCTTTTCTTGCTATCAGATAGTTAAAAAAAATCTGAAAATCCAAAATTTTGTTCTGATCAAGTTTGCAAAATATGATTCTAGAAGAAGATATAAACCTGAATGTCATTCTGAAATTATGATTATCATGTCTAATGGGGCACACTGTATCACGACAAATCTATTTTTCACAAATTTTTGTTTCTGAAATTAAAAATGTTCATTAGAGAAGGTCAATGAGTTGTGGACTTATTTTCTTACAATGAATGAAACGATTTTTTTTCCACTAAAACATTTAAAATAAAAATAAAGTATATTTCACTATATTTGTACGTTCACAGGTTTTCTAATAATGATAATATTTCGGTTTTTTATCTAACAATTAGTAATTTTGAATTTATGCAGCAGAAACAAACAATGGGAGGTCAGTTGTAATTTCGCCTACAGCCCCTTTAATGGGAGGTGAGTTGTAATCTCGTCTACAGTCCCTTTAATTGGAGGTCAGTTGTAATATCGTCTACAGTCCCTTTAATGGGAGGTGAGTTGTAATCTCGTCTACAGTCCCTTTAATGGGAGGTGAGTTGTAATCTCGTCTACAGTCCCTTTAATGGGAGGTGAGTTGTAATCTCGTTTACAGTCCCTTTAATAAGAAATTATAATTCTGAAATATTTTCCACTTAATTTATTGTTGTGTAATTATATTACTTTACATTGACTAAACATTGATATTTCTTATATCATCATGCTTGACATGACAATTTGCTAAGCCTGGGGGGGAATAATTATCAGGATAAAAGAGTAGAAAGCAGATTCCCCCCCCTCTATTCACTGTTCATGCAACGCTTTGTGATAAACATATTTTTATTTTGTCAAAATACATTTAGCTTCAAACAACAATAACAGAGTGACATCACTAACAAAATTAGTAAATGTCCACTTCTATGAAAGCTAAAATTGGAACGTAATAAAATTGTTTTTCTTGCTACAGCTGGTCTAAACAAAATGGAGGATCCAAATTCCAAATATTAATTGAATACAGTATAATCATAGAGAATAGAATATATAGAGAGGAATTAAAGGAATTTCTCGGTATGAATTTTTTCAGTCCCTTTCAGCCTGAAAGGGAGTTCAAAGTGTACAAATCCTGTAAATGTTCACAAATTATATGCAGTACAGTACATTAATACAGTATGTTCCCTAGACTATTCATTTCAATTTCGAATTTTTTAAACTGTTAAATAATTTTTATGATGAATTAGTTGAATAAAAACATCATTTGATTTATAGTTAAAACGGAAAATCATTGTTTGTAAAGTGGAAGGCATAGAGTCTATGTGAAATGATCATTGGTCAATTATGAAATCAGCCTATTTCATAATTTGGTTTTCTTTTAAAAATAATTTTAGATTTTCTATATAATGATATTCCAGGGCCCAAAAGGTTATATAGCATAAATATGTGAAGTACACCTGCAGTATGGAAACAGTACAACAAAATGGCGGTTTTACACTTTTTTCCATTAAATTCCTCTCTATATATTCTATTCTCTATGAGAATAATAGAAAATATAAAAAATATATACTTTTTCCCTAGATCCCCTCAAGGTACATCTTATTTTCCCTAGATCCCCTCAAGGTACATCTAGATCCCCTCAAGGTACATCTTTTTAAAGAAATAAAAAAGTACGTTTTAGGTTATTATCCAATTTTGTATGAACAGATAGATAGATAAAAATATGATATATACATAGATAGATAAATATATATAGACTAGAATTCCATTTGAAAACATAAACAAAAAGATGGACCGTGGACTAGACAGTTGAAAACATATGTCATCTCTCTTTAAAATAATCTAACAATATTAACTGGAGCTTGTGTTTGTTTTTCAGTTGTTTGTTGTTTGTTATTGGCTGTCTAGTGTTTGTTATTAGTTGTCTGTTGTTTGTTATCAGTTGTCTGTTGTTCGTTATTAGTTTTTTTGTTATCAGTTGTATATTGTTTATCAGTTGTCTGTTGTTTGTTATTAGATCGTTTGTTGTTCGATAACTGTTGTCTGTTGTTGTTTGCTATCAGTTGTCTGTTGTTTGTTATTTATCAGTTTTTTGATGCTTGTATCAGTTGTCTGTTGTTTGTTATTTATCAGTTGTTTGTTATTAGATCGTTTGTTGTTCGATAACTGTTGTCTGTTGTTGTATCAGTTGTCTGTTGTTTGTTATTTATCAGTTTTTTGATGCTTGTATCAGTTGTCTGTTGTTTGTTATTTATCATTTTTTTTATGCTTGTATCAGTTGTCTTTCGATTGTTATAAGTTGTTTGCTGTCTGATAACAGTTGTCTGTTGTTGTTTGGAGTTTATTTTCAGTTGTCTGTTGTTTTTTATCAGTTGTTTGTTGCTTGTATCACTTGTTTGTTGTCTGATAACAGTTGTCTGTTGCTGTTTGAATTGTTTGTTATCAATTGTCTGTTGTTTGTTATCAGTGCCTGTTGTTTGTTATTATTAATTTTTGTTTGATATTTTTTATTTGTTATTTCAATTGTTTAAGACTGGACAATACATTCCAAGATTAAAAACAAGCCTAAATTTGTGCAAGTCATTTCAATTTGCTACTTAGTTTAGCAGAAGCTGTTTGCTTGAAGTACAGCGAAAAATGCATTGGCGTTTGCAGATTATATATTTTAGTGCTACCTCATGCAAATAAATGCAAATTTAGAGGCGAAACTATGGGGCGGGAAAGGGGGGGGGTTACCGGTCGCCTATTCCCGCCAAAGGGGGGTGGGACGTCCCGCCACCGAATGTGAAAAATTTCCGGGCAAAAACATAGTCAAAACTGTGAAACAAGCTGACCAACCTTGGAGAATTCTAGTTTCTAGATCAGTTAAGAATTTTTATTTTAAAGTACCTTATAAACAATTTTTAAAATTTCAATTAATTTTATTTTAATAGATAATAATTTTGAAAATTTCCGAAAAATAATCAATGAATTTTAGTATCAACATCGACATAATCAGTGTTAGCATTAAAAATAAGCAGTTACCAAAAAAATAAAAAAAAACTGGCAAATGAAAGTGTTCATAAGATCATCGAAGAAAAATGCTTTTTTAAATTTCATTCTTAGTTGGGAATATGACTAAGTTGAAAAAACAACCAAATAATGCTAAAAAATTATTATAATTAGTCTAAAAATAATCAGTTATCCTTATTCTTGACTACAGATGCCAAACTTTGTCCTAAAAATTGATCCAAATTTGGGGAATTTTTTGGGATTTTCCATTTATATTTAGGGGATTTTTAAAACTTTTAGAGTTGGTCACCCGGATATGAGATTATGTTTTTTAATTATCTGTTAAGTTGTTTATTCAACACTAGAAATAAAGAACCCCACCACTCACTACAAAATACCCCTTTTTGCACCACTAATATATTAGCTGGAATATTGTGGTGTCTTAATACCATTTGTCAACTCTTACCTTAGAACTATCAAGCTCACAGTGATCCAGATTTCAAGGCTGGGTCTATGCTTTAAAGTGATGCAACGCCTTGCCTTTGATTTTACCTGTCTATCACACTTATCCTTTTTTTGTAGCCTATGACATGTAAATTTTAAAACTATAAAGTGATTGCTTTTAGCTTTAGTTTTTAAGAAGTAATTGGCAAAACTCGCATTGATTTTGCCTGTATACAGTGTCCCCTAAATAAAATATATTAATAATAAAACAATTGCAAAAATCCAGTCTTGAGAAATTGCAAAAATACCTTTCATAACTATGTATGAAAAAAAATATTCTTAAAGGGACTGTATAAGTAATTTCAAGTGACCCTCCATGCAAAGATGGCATATCCCGATTCACAACGGTACCATTAACTTTGTCTGATCAAGTATCAATTTAATATCTATGTTTATAATTTGTAAAACTGATTGTTTTCAATTGTGGTTTCTCTACAATAGTGACTTGCGTATTTCTACGGCAGGAAAACAATATCAGAGGTAGACACGTTTAAACCTGGAAAAACGGCAATATCT